AAAAAAAAAAAAAAAAAAAAAAAAAAACAAAGAAAGAAAGATCATTCATTAAGACCAAGTGGAATTTATCCCTGGGATGCAAGGAGGGATGCTGAAATCAATCAATGTGATACACTGTATCAAGAAAATGAAGGCTAAAAACCATGTGATGATTTCAATTGATGCTGAAAAGGCATTTGATAAAAATTCAACATCCCTTCCTGATAAAAACTCTCAAAAAAACTGGGGATAGAAGAAACATACCTCAACATAATCAAAGCCATATATGACAGACCTCACAGCTAGTATCATACTGAATGGGGAAAAACTGAAAGTCTGTCCTCTAAGATCTGGAGCATGGCAAGGGTGCCCACTGTCACCACTGTTATTCAACATAGTACTGATAGTGTCTGAGCTAGAGCAATCAGACAACAGAAGGACATAAAGGGCATCCAAATTGGAAATGAAGTAGTAAAATTACCCATGTTTGTAGATGATATAATCTTATATTTGGAAAAACCTAAAGATACCACAGAAAATCTATTAGAACTGTTAAACACATTTAGTAAAGTTGCAGGATACAAAGTCAACCTACAAAAATCAGTAGCGTTTGTATATACCAGCAGTAAACAATGTGAAGAAGAAATTTAAAAAGTAATCCCATTTACAATAGCCACACATAAAATTAAATACCTAGAAATTAACCAAAGTAAAAGATCTCTATAGTGAAAACTACACTGATGAAAGAATTGAAGAGGACACTAAAAACTAAAAAAAAATTTCCAAGTTCATGGATTGGAAGAATCAACAGCTAAGATTTGAAAGCAACCTGTGTTCATCAACAGATGAGTGGATAAACAAAACATGGTACATCTACGTAATAGTACATCTACTATTCAGCCATAAAAAGAATGAGATCTAGTCATTTGCAACAACATGGATGGAAATGGAGATCCTTATATTAAGTGAAGTAAGCCAGGCACAGAACAACAAACATTGTATGTTATTTATTTATTTGTGGGGCCTAAAATCAAAACAACTAAACTCACGGACTTAAAGAATAGAAGGATGGTTGTTACCAGAGGCCGGGAAGGGTAGTGCAAGGCTGGAGCAAGAGGTGGGGATGGTTAACGGGTGAAAAAAAAAAAGAAAAACATACTATTTGATGGTACAATAGGCTGACTATAGTCAATAGTAATTTAATTGGTCAGTGACGGTTGTTCATGCCTGTAATCCCAGTACTTTGGGAGGCCAAGGCAGGGAGATCTCTTGAGCCCAGGAGTTCAAGACCAACCTGGCCAAAATGGAGAAACCGCATCTCTTCAAAAACTGCAAAAAATAGTAGTGTGTGGTGGCATGTGCCTGTGGTCTCAGCTACTTGAGAAGCTGAGGTGGGAGGATCACTTGAGCCTGGGTAACAGAGGTTACAGTGAACCAAAATGTGCCACTCCCCTTCAGCTTTCATGACAGAGCAAAACCTTGCCTCATAATAATAAAATAATAACTTAATTGTATATTTTTAAATAACTTAAAGAATTTAATTGAATTGTTTGTAACTCAAAGGATAAATGCTTGGAAGGATGCATACACCATCTTCGATGATGTGCTTATTTCACTTTGCATGCCTGTGTCAAAACATTTCATGTACCTATAAACATCTACTATGTACCCACAAAAATTTTTAAAATAAAAAAATCAATTTTGGCAAGCTTTCAGTCATGACTCATTCAAATATCTCTTCTAACCCCTTCTCTATATTCTTTATTTTTGGACTTTCATTAATTTCATTCTAAATATATGTCAGTATATTTAATGCTCCATGTTCTCTGAGGCTCTGTTCATATTTTCTTTATTCTTGTTTTCTCTCATTAGGTAATTTTTATTGATCCACTTTTAACTTCACTGATCCTTTCTTCTGACATCTTGAATCTGCTGTTGAGCCCCTCCAATGAATTGTTCATTTTATTTAGTACACTCAACTTGAGAATTTCCATGTGGCTCTTCTTGGTAATTTCTATCCCATGATTGAGACTCCCTATTTGTGTATTCATTGATGTCATATTTTCCTTTAATTCTTTAAACATGGCCTCCTTTAGTTCTTTGAATGTATTTATGATGACTTCTTTGAAATTTTTGTGTGCTAAATCTAACCTCTGGGGACATTGAGGGACAGTTTCTATTAACTGTGTTTCCTTCCAAAAATATTTTCCTGTTTCTTCGCATGTCTAGTAATATTTTGTTAAAAGGTGACCATTTTAGACAACAGGTGGTAACAACTCTGGATTCTGATTTTCCCCCTCTGATGGAGTGCACTGGTGCAAGCTCAGCTCACTGTAACCTCTGCCTCCGAGGTTCAAGCAATTCTCCTGCCTCAGCCTCCTAAGTGCCTGGGAATACAGATGAGCACCACCGTGCCCAGCTAAATTTTGTAATTTTTTTTTAGTAGTGACACGGTTTCACCATGTTGACCAGATGGTCTCAACCTCCTAACCTCGTGACCCACCCACCTCGGCCTCCCAAAGTGCTGGGATTACAGGCATGAGCCACCTCGCCCAGCCTATTGTTGCTGTTTTGTCTGTTTTAGTTACTTAGAAACTTTCCTTGGATAAATCTGTGGATCTGTCTCCTGCACAGCATATAGTCACTGATGTCTTTGCCCAGGTTTCTGAGTTGCTCCTATATGAGCATAGCTTAGTAGTCAGCTAATAATTGGAAAGAGATTGTGCTCGAATGTCTGAAACAATACATCTACTATCCTCTGATTATGGTAGAGAGTAAGAGTCGACATTCAAAGTTTAAGCTATTCTCAAATCTGTTCCTACTTTTGCTTCCTGCTAGGCCTTTTTGAGTCTGTGGATACGTGCACAGTTTCAGGGTTGGCAAGGAGTCCATGAATAGCTTAGGCTCTCTCCTGTTTCTGCTGTGAATGTGCACAACCTCAGCCATGAACATCTTACCCTGAATATGAATGAAAACTCAGGCTAGTAGAGCTATTGGCCCTCTCCCACTTGCTGGCCACCAAGTCATCACTTTTACAAATAACACCACTGTATCATCCAGTGTTCCACATCAAGCAGGCCTCTGTGATGGCCAGTTTTATGTGTCAATTTGACTTGGTCATGGGATGCTCAGATATCTGGTAAAATATTACTTCAAGATATGTCTATGAGGGTGTTTCTGGGAAAGATTAGCATCTGAATTGGTGAATTGAATAGAGGAAATAACTCTCCCCAAAGTAGTGGGTGTCATCCAATCCACCAAGGGCCCGAATAGAACAAAAAGGCAAAAGAAGATTGAATTTTACTCTATCTGACAGCTTGAGCTGAGACATCATTATCTCCTGCCCACAGTGCTCCTGGTTCTCAGACCTTCAGATGCTAACTGGTATCTACACCATTCAGCCAAGGCTCTCAGGCCTTCAAGTTGTATCACTGACTTCCCTGGGTCTGGAGCTTGCAGAGAGCAAATCATAGAACTAACCTCTATACTTGTATAAGCCAGCTCCTTATCATAAATCTCATTCTAGATATATACTGAAAACCAAATATACAAAAATAACCAATAGAATATGGCTGTGTGTGTGTGTGTGTGTGTGTGTGTGTGTGTGTGTCTGTTCCTCTGAAGTTCTAACTTATACAGCCTCCCTTTGACTGTAGCAGCACATGCCAACTCAACTGAGCAGAGAATGGGAGCAATTCTAGTCCAGACCAGAACACCACAGACTTCCAATGTTCCTACCTGAATTTCTGCAGTTGTCTAAGCATGAATGCTTCTCAGATTGTTGTATGCCATTCATTAACTTCCAGAATACTGAAGAGGTTGTTTTTGTCCATTTTTCCCAGCTTTATAGATGTTTTTGGAGGAAAGAATTAACTGACTTCCTGAAAGTCCTGCCAATAATTCAATTTTAAAATTGCACCATTATATTTTGCACACAGAACACAGTGACGGAATATTTGCAAAGCCATGAATGCCTAGTGGGAGATGTCATGATAGAGTGATCCATCAACTAGGATGGAATGGGAGAGGTCAAAATGGCTGATCACATTTGCTTTACTATCAGTCCCACACATAATTTATAAGTCAAAAGAGTTGCTGTAAGTCATTTATATGTCTTGGCAGGTGACAACTGTTTTAAAGCACTGAACTATAATTCTGCCTATAAATGTGTGTATGTGTATATATCAAGGTATATACACATATATTATATATG